TTTGTTTTTTTTTTTTTTTTTTTTTTTTTTTTTTGAAACATTACTACACTTATTATGAACAGAAGCATATTATTAACGTTACTGGCGTCAAGATGGATATAAATATAAAACTAACGGCCCTTATTACATTCAATATATACATACTAACCATCAGGGATCTGAACTGCTTTCAGTCAGATAATGGTATGAAGATGCGAATTTGAAAATAAAATCTTTGATCATATGCAACTGAACTGTATTCTGTGTACCATAGATACTGTTTTTCAGGCAAATTCCCGTACATAAACGTGAATATATGACTGAAACACCTGGTACATGGAAGAGAATAGTAAAATATACATGCATTGCACGAGCATATTATACAACAATAAATATATAGTATCACAAAAAGTAAAGATGAGTCTTGTTTCTGTCTACACACTCTGTTCCTTGTTTGTGTCTTCTGGGTCGCCCAGACAAACAGTGTCTTCCTTAGGTTTGAAGAATATCATGGCCTCAGTGGTGCCCCGACGTTGCATGTATGCCAGAACTCCAATGAGGCCGATTAGAATTCCAATGATGAGTCCCATGACGACCAACCCTCCAATATACCCGGCTATCAGTCCATTATCTATAAAGAAAGGATGAGACAACACTGGTAGTGTTCAAATGGCTTTTAAAATATGTGTTGCTAAGAATAAAATAAAAATCATTTGACCGTTTTTATTAGACCCAAAATGGGCTGTTTTCTTTTCTCTTCTTCTTCTTTTTTTATTATTTATTTTCTTTCATCTTCTAATCTTCATCGTTTTATTATAAATAATATGGACATCTCTGGACCACCATTTAAGTAAGTCTTTGGAACCATGTGCACCTTAGCGCATCAAATAATCAAGGTGGTATATACCTGAAGTTTTAACGCTATTATCTGACCCTCTAATTGGTATAGGGCGTGGGGTTGCTCTGCCCCTGGACTTTGTAGAATGTTCTGCCGTTGATGTTGTAGCACCTGCTGTCGTTGATGACATTAGTCGAGGCCAAAATGGCGGAGATGCGGCGGTTGTGGTGTATGGCACTAAAATTATTGTGATATAAAAGTAACTACATTACAGTTAACCTAAGAAGGAAGATATGGCACCATTACCGTCACACTATTTTTGTACGACCTTTTTAAGATTTCTGATTTTTAAAACAGACGGGAAATTTCAGTATTTTGGTCACATAAATCAAGGAGTTGCATACAAGAAGATTTCAAACGGCGGCACTATCCACCCTTTGTATTGCATGAGGTCTGCAAAGATACGTTTCGAATATGTGTTCCGTCGCCATTTTCATTTATCATTTATGTGCATTAAACAAATTTTCGAGTTGACCAGCTCATTGCAAAAATCGGCTTAAAATTATAATAGAACTTATTCCTCTCAAAGATATGTGTCCGATTTGCACAACAAAATCTACCATATTCTGCCTGCAGGGAATGTCTAAGTATTCTAGCACACCGACATAAATAAAATGTTAAGAAAAAAGAAAGAAAAAACAAATGCACCCACCTTTGGCCACTTTACATATATATCCTTTGATATAAGAACACCTTGAGGTAGACCAACCCCCGTTCCCAGGGTGAAACGAAGTGCACTCCTTGTAATTCTCCGTGGCCGGTTCACCGGAGTCCCAGTTCATGTAGTTCACAACGGTGTTATCATACCAGCCAAATGAATCTGGAATTCCAAGGAAATGGGCTGTTAAGACAAGAATCATTTTACGTCGAAAGACGGTCCACTAACGGCACTCGTTAACTAGGAATTTTTAAACATTTCTTCCCGATGCACTTCCCAGTTGTTCTGGCAGGCTTTTGTTGAAACAATCCTTATTCCGGTCGAAACGCGTCTTAAATGTGAGGAACGACATTAAACTTTATCAAATTCCCTATAACTGTTCTGAACTTTTTTCCGGACCTAGCTCAGTTTACCTCCTAATTTCCGCACCAAACCAATCCACAAGTTTCTTTCTTGTATGCGCTCTTGCCGTAGTGTTTTCACAAGGAAGTCGTTCTCCTCTTGGCTTGTGATAGATGCCAGAGTAGCCCCTAATGAATTAATGATAAATTCTTATATATATATATATATATATATATATATATATACGACTACTTGATTAAACACCTCCTGACGATCGAACATACCGTATGGGTATGTCCGTGAAAGCCAGAGTTGACGTTTAGACATGACTCGGTGTCAATTATTTACTTATTTTTGAAATTGTGTATAAATGCTCCGCATATTTGAGCTCTCTAATCCCGTACATATATATATATTGGCAACTTACTTCTTTAAATGTGAAAAAATGGACTATACTTTAATCATCTAACAGAAAAGTCACAAAGTGAGTAAGATATAAAATATATTATGATTTCAATATACATGTACTTAAAATAAAATGTTAAGATACCTCTCTTGTAGCATTCAAAGTTTGCGTCTGGCCAACTGACATAAGCTTCCTTTAAGAGGTAGCAGTTGGAGCTAAACGGGAACCATGATGTCTCATCCGGGCACTTTCCTGGTGGATCGGCTATCGTGGTAGGCGGTAAAGCTGAAAACAGCGTAGGAACTTAAATGCATTTTCCAAATGATATTTTCAACTCTTTCAGACTGACTGGCTTTTGTCGGAATATGTCTTTTAGGGAAATTTTCCACTCACTGCCTTGGAACAACTTTTAAAATTAACTAAATTTTATATTTATGAATCCTAATAACCGAGAAATAAACATCATCATAACCAGGAAGAACTTGTAGAGAAATTCCTTTGCCTTTCATAAAAAGTTCTTTGAATTTTGTCTTCAATAAAACAAATGCTTCAAAGATGACATCCTACCTGATGTTTTCTTGCACATTCCTCTGAATGTAGTATTGCATGTAAAATCATACCAGCGGCCGTTCGGCAAGAGGGCGACACACCCCTCCGTGCCTGCTCGTAAGGGTTCCCCACGCGCCCATAGGGCAAAATCAACGGGCCAACCGTCTACCCATTTATATGTAAGCTAGGTATTTGAAATAATGAAAAATATAGTACAAGTGACAACATTAGTATTTGTTTTTCAGTTTAAAAGATAATACAGGGAAGTATTATATGTTTCTTCATATACCATTGTATTATAATTGCTTAAATGCATTTCAGTACCAATAGATCTATTTTAAATTAAAATTTAAGCAAGTATTTTAAATAAAGATACCATATTACTCTGAAGACATTCCACTTTGTGTACTTAGCCCACATATTAATTGCTTTTAACAGAGAGACGGTTAAGTAAAAACATACGAGTATTTGAATATTTCTCTGGACCGTCGATGGCGACCGCATGGTATTGAGAAAATATAAGGATGAGAACTGAAGTAAAACACCCAATCAAAAATGTGTTAGCATTTTTTTTAATTCATCTTACCTGTTTTCTGTACAGCCCAAGCCATAGCGGCCAAGGTGTTTCCCTGTGGGCTTTGAGTGTAACAAAAGCCTGTTCAAAACTATCAAGTATCGACACCAGCGTGTCTTGCTGTCTCTCACAATACTGTTTTGCTTCTTCCCACGTGGAAACCGTAGTTATCTGGTAGCAGGCGTCTCTGAACGATTCATAGCCACTGGGGCACGAGGAAGTTGTTTGTGTCGGAGTTTGGGTGGGGAATGACGAATCTGAGATTGAAGAATATATGAAAAGTGTTTCAAAAGGGACAATTGTATTGCGTCTGATATTGTATGGCAAAAAAATCGACTGTGTTTGTTCTGCATAACAATCTTTGTAATTTAATTCTTTATTTTAACTTATTTAAATGACCCCGATAAATTTAAATATGAAACCGTGTAAGTTTGTTTTCAATGAGTCGCCATTAAACATTTTGCAAGAGTTTTATATCAGTTGACTACGCACCATCCATCTGTAAAGCAAACGCGGATATCCCAAAGTCGATAAATTCAAGGTAACGGCAAATGCTACTTTCAGTTCATAATTACTTAAATGGACTAGACCTGAGTTTCTGCCAAGGTTTTTGTCTATGTGCGATTTTATCATATATGAGCGGGCTGGTAATACCACAACCAGAAGTGCAGGTACATATACCTCTCCAAGTCTGGCAGATGTAACCCATTCGTAGCTTGCATTTCTCATCGCGCCATCTCCCAGCACCTGTTCCACTTGAAACAACGCTGGTGCAGTCCGCCTGGAGAGAACAGGAAAAAAATAGAATTGCCAGTCTACAGAAGAAGGACAACATGGCGAACAGTTCAGCATGAGTCTAATTTGTCCGGGTCTCGGGTTATACCACGGCAATAAACGAAAAAATAATTTAGCAGACGGTTTTCATGTCTGACTTGGGGTCTGTCATTTGAAGTTTTGGTTTAAGAGTAAGTATGTTTTGTAATCTCATGTTATCCTTGTCTAATCTAAACGACGTAATTTATATTATAACACAAACCATATTACCTTACTTGCAAATAATGAAGGCGCGTATGTGCTTTCACTTGCTGTGAAAATGCAGGTAGCTATTGGATTTTACATGCAAACGCAGTGTACTTATCCGTCTTATAAGACCATCAGGATCTAGGCTTCACTTGCCTATATACACCTGATATATTATATTATATTATATTATATTATATTATATTATATTATATTATATTATAGCGACATGGAAGATTTACCTTATCGTCTCCGCTAGAGGCTCCATTTGGTTCCCCGTGGTCCCAGGATACGAAGTCCACGTGCGAGTTGTCCACCCACTGAAAATGCCGTAAGATTTTGTTGAGACCGATCCAAAAGTTGATAGTTTTCCCCGTCATAAGTGTCGTCACAAATGCTGTAATTAAGAAAACGGCATGTGAGGAAATTCCTATTTTATTCTGTTCGCTCTCCGTAAACGTGTCCTTCACGTTGGTTTGGCCAAGTGCTTTTGGCCAAGTTTTTTTTTAAGTTACGGGGTAGTGATATTACAACCCTAACACGTTTGTTAAACCTCGGTCACAACCGGACGCACGAATTTCAGGATCGTACGTTCCCTGCGATTTTTGGTTGTTGCGAAGGCCGTGGAGGTCGTAGAGGTAAAGGAAAGTCTGCCTTGCGAGTAGCAAGGGCCACATGAGATTTCCTTTCAAACAGGGGCGCTAATTGCAAGGAATGATGGCCGTGGAAATTGTACTCAAATCTTGAGTTTGTCTTGCGTGGGACTTGAGATTCTGCGCAAAAATTGGACGCAAACAGCCCGTAAGAGCCCGTACGGCCGGTTGTGACCGAGGCTTTACTTAGCCAAAAAGTACACGCGTTTAATAAAGTGTATGCCATTTTTCTCACTCGAAGGGGGAGATTTCTTAACTGTACCATTGTAAATGGTTGGGGAAATCTTAGATGTCGCGTCATTATTATTCACAGAAGATAAACAACTCGATCCAATTCCTCAACCGGTAAATTTATCATGAAATGAAGTTACCTAATGCCCTCTACCACATGGTTTATATTGAAATGAATATACCTTCTTCGATATGGTTGGTAATACTGGCCAGTGAGTACTTTTTGTTCAGCGCAGAACATTCATCAACAGCTTCTGTCCAATTCTTCAAGCTTCTTGGATCTGATCTATCACCAAATGCTTTATAACATCTGTTTCCTAGAGAATAATGAAAGAAGATGATGTCTTTTTAACAAACAGCATCCAATGCTTTATTTATGGGAACATACATTCGAAATATGTATCAGTGATGTTTCATTCCATATTTGTCTAACTGCGACAATACTTTCTCTATGGGCTTAGCACTTGGTTTGAAGTCGTGGGCCAACATCACGTCACATCTGAGCGCGTATTTGTGCTCATGAACACATGGGAAACAAGTCTCTTAATTAGGCTATCTAATTTTCAGCCATTGCGCCTCCCCATAAAGGGGAAAAAGCACAAGCCGAGACGAGCACAGGTTTGTTTTATAAACACTTTACCAAGAATGTATTACATTCATGATTATCTGACAAATGCTATAGACTCGCACAACTCTGGTGGGGAGGACAGTAAATGTATGCTCTTCTCAACCTTGTTTGATATGTTTGATCCACCTGACGATGCCAAGTATTCCAATGTGTTCGAGTTATTTCAATGCAAGGTCATACGGTAGAAACTATACATCTAAACGGCAGCAATCTTAGCGGGTAATAGTCCCGTGTTGCATAACACTCTAAATGTCAGCCCACATCATCCACAGCTAGCTAAATCAACGGAAATGTGAAGTATATGTACTGACCTACTCCCTGGAATCCGGGTGGACATCCGCCTTGAATGGTCGGTGTTGGGGACGGAGTCACCGTTGTCCTGCTGTCCCGATGCTTTTTGCAGATGAAATTTACCCGTTCGCCACAGTTATCGTCATTCCAATGTCCTGTATTCATAAATGTTACTAGCTTTCACAGAATATAATTTGAACATTGCCCAACGTTGAACTAAGGTAATTTGCCAGCTCCAAAGCTAGACTTGTAAAATGCCTAAGGATTATTGATTGTCGGTCAGGATGCGCAATTTACTCGTATATGGAAGTCACCTCGCTGTCTTTTTACAGCGTTCGCCAAAAGTTCGACTACCAAAATTGACTTAGTCTCTTTGTCGACAAACAAGGGCTATCTACTGTACGTACTATACTACTGTGTGTGATATATACATTTTATGCGTAGTCATTACTTTTTTCAAAAGCAGAAATCACCTCGTTTTGTTTTTAGGTGCACTTATCAAAACAGATTAATGAGGATTCGAGGATGAAGATTTAAGGATAAAAAATTTGTGAAGTGGCTCAACAAAAAAAGAAGTCTCTTCTAAATAAAAAACGAGTTAAATAAAAATTCCTGGAAATCAAGACCAGCGTGTACCTGAGTCAGTGACGATGTCGACACATTTCTGGCCTCCGTTGTAGTCGTTGGGTTCATCAGGTCCCCATGCTATGAAATCAGTGACAGTTCCATCTGACCATCTGAGGAAAGATTCATTAATATTTCATAAAATAGCTGGTCGTTTACTGAATAAAATAATTAAATTAAATTAAAGTCAAAGGCATGAATTGTTTTGGGCGTCCGTTACTTTGGCTAAATCTCTACTTCTTTACGCATTCAAGAATTGATACTTACGGAAAGGAAAAAAAAACTATCTGTAAAGTACAATAAAGTACGTTTTTATTCAAGATGATAAAATCCATGTTTGAAGGCATAACATAGTTATGCATACAAACATGCAAATGAAATAAAAAATGATGAAGCAACCGTGTATGTTATACATAAGAATATTGTAAGTCAGATATGGTGGTTTATAAATAAATAAAAAGACACACATCTGATTTACGAATGAGCATTGAAATATGAATCTTACTTGTAGCTTTCCAAGTCCAGTTCGTTTAAGCCTATCCAGTATTTGTAGACACTGGTCTTTCCAATCTGAATAGAGGTATAACAGAAATGGTTTATATGTAGCAAGAAAATGGTATTCAAATGGCCTATAGTTGTTTATCCTACAGCCAATTCCCTACTCTTTTTGCAAGAAAAAACGAGGAAAAGAAAAATATGATATAAGCCAAGCAATGCCAATTTGAAAGCAATAAATTAAAAAAATACGAATCTTGGTTTTACCGAATATGTTGAAGTAAAGTATCCTATACCCTTATAAAACCAGTACATAGATACTCTTCAACGGGCACATTTTAATGACGTCAGTAATTTTACTAAATGAACAGGAATTCTTTCCAACCACGAATTCTGATAGGAACAGGGAATGGATAGAAAAAAAAACACAGAAAGAATTCAAAGATTTAAAAGGAAAAGAAAATCACCAAACCTGCTGCACTAAAAAGTTGCTCTCATTAGTGTTATGTATGCTGACCAGGTCCCCCGCGTTCTGCATACAGTACTCTCTGGCCTCGTACCAAGACTTCGTGGCATCCACGCCGTATTTGGGGCTGAGGAAATAGCAGTACTCTCCATAGGAGTGCCAGGTTGGATCACAGTGTGGATCTACACGATAAACACTTATAATGAAAATCATATATACATATACCGGATCTTTATGGTGGGAACACCGGATCATAAGAAAATCTCAACGGATCTAAAAACACCCGGTCATTATAGTAAAACGCGGGCATTTAATTTAAAACAACAGATCGTAACTTAAAACAACAGATCCTAGCGATACGTACTGCAGTTCAAAAAATTGAAAAAAACNGATCTACACGATAAACACTTATAATGAAAATCATATATACATATACCGGATCTTTATGGTGGGAACACCGGATCATAAGAAAATCTCAACGGATCTAAAAACACCCGGTCATTATAGTAAAACGCGGGCATTTAATTTAAAACAACAGATCGTAACTTAAAACAACAGATCCTAGCGATACGTACTGCAGTTCAAAAATGAAAAAAATGTCGTACATCTTATGCGTTAACACAAAGGGACCCAATTTGTCAAAAGAATCTCCTGTTAGTTTCCATTTGATTGCCTTGCCAATAGCAAGACCGCTTATTAAAGTTATTTCAGTTTTTTCAACAGTAGAGTATTAGATGCATATGGAAATCGCAAATCCATCATCTTTTACGAAAACAACATCTTTTATGATGCTTTCAGATATCAATAGGACCAAGTGAATTAAATATAGTTCCAACATGTCCATAGTATGCGACTGGCCTGTTTGGCAATAACTTCTACAGACAATGCACGGTAAAATGCCAAAGCATTGATATGACATGTAACTTACTTGGTGTAGGTGACACTGTGCGTGCAGTTGACAACAAGGGATCGCCTGTAACAATTACATAATAAATGAGATGAGAAAATGCTACTGAACAACGAAAGGTGCTTATTAAGGGTGCCCAGGTCTCACATGGGACGATTTTAAGTTTTCTAGATACCTAACAAGCTGTGCCTAGAAATAAAAAATGAAATGCTGATGGGGCAATGGGCATCTTTTTGTTAAAAAATCTTTTAAGAGAGAGGGATTTATCACGAGACCAAAGTAAAATTTTACATTGAAGTACAACGAAGAAAGTAAACCTTTCCTTTCAGTTGGAGCCTACCTTTCTTCAGTTGACACAAAACGCTTCTCCTTGAGTAGCAATTGGCGTCATTCCACTTTCCGCCGTGGCGGTTAAATAAAACGCACTTTTCCTGCCCGTTGACGTCATTTGGTTCCCCTTTTCCCCAGTTGGTAAAGTCCACTATCGAATTGTCCGACCAAGCATAGCGACCACTTTGGTCTGGCATCGACAATCCGATCCAATATAAGTCGTAGCTATTTCTGAAAGATGATTGGAAATTCGATATTTCTTATCATGCACATATTAGCCAACCAAAGCAATTACACTGAGTGATACCCAATATTTGAGTGCATAACATATTATGAAGGTGAAGAAAAAATTGAGTAAGTAACTTGGGAAGTAGCTTTAAAAACTTGAATCCAATTTAAGAGTCAGTATTAAAAGCATATATTGATACAATGATGTCAGTTCGAAACTTTTCATCTGATAGGAAAAGGTCTAGATTGTTTGCAAAACACTACGGTTGTCACCTTTCAACAAAATCCTTACAATGTATAGGAGTAAACACTTGTTGAATATAAGTCTATCTGATACAGCACGATAAAGTAAGTGAATATGGGCCAAAAGTTAAAAAATTAAGCCACAAGTCTTGTGCTTGCTCCCTTACGTATACGATGTGACGTCAGTGCCGTTTCCAAACTGTTCAATGCTGTGAAAGCTGGCAAGATCGCCCCCTATCGCCCGGCAGAAGTCTCGAGCCTCGAACCATGTTAGTTTGTTGTCACCGTACATACGTTCCCGCTATAATACATTAAAAAGTAAAACTGTTTAAATTGTCTTGTTCGTCCTTGTTTTAGTCCGCTCTATAAAACAAATCTAAATGATCAAGAATAACATACCAAGTCAAACAGTATTTTATAGCCTGGAGAAATTTATCAAAATTTTAGTACACTTTTAAATTTTATAAAATTAGTCCCTTTTTCGCACACACCAACCTTGTAACAGAAATCTCCAACTTCTTTCCATCCGTAAACCTTTGGGCATTCAAGCGCCACAGGTGTAGTCGTTGATAGTGCATTACTCACTGCTAGTCTCAATGCTTGGTCGGACGGAATCCCAACATTACCGCTAGATGCAAATTTGCCTATATCAAAGGCGAATAAATTAATTTGTATTTTTTTTTTTTTTTTTTTTTTTTGAAAGACAAATCAGTTTTCCCTCCTCGTGACTTGAGTCTTTCATTTCTAATTTGGCATCGAATAAAAATCCCAATAAAAAAATGAGGTAGAGAAAGTGAACATCTTTCTCGTTTTTGTTCCTGAGCAGAAATTGTAAGTAGCACAAAGCGTTGCGGGTTTACGGGAAAATACGTAGCAAGGCGAGAAATATTACTGAATGGCACTGAGATAAATATCTCAGTACAGTCGGTTAGGGCCACCACAGCATTGTCCTCATATCAGGTAATTGAAAGGTCCAGCTAATTAACATTGATAAACGGTTAATATATTACTTAATATATATATTACTTAAAGATTACTATCTCAGACTATGAAAAAGTCCAATCTGCCCCCCCCCTTCCCAGACTATAAGAAATTGTTTTAAACCACTACAAAGGAACTTCACACATGAATTACATGAGATTTTTTCAGCGGGCCTTAATGAATTGGGGGGGGGGGGAGGGTGGTATCCGATTATCCAACAGGGGCCTTCAGTATAAAATTCCGATAAAACAGGTAAATGCTGAGAAATATTAAATGTCCAATCAGCCTTGGGCGCTGTAGCTCCGAAATCAATCAATGTATCTACGGACATGCACATCAAATAGGTATTTATATCTTCGTCTTATCGCCATTCCCTTGTTCGGGTATAAACTTGAGATAAGAGCGTTCTATTAAAGTTGTAAGAAGGATGAGGTTAATATTGATATCTAGTCTAATATAAGCTGCCGAGTCACCTATTGTTGATTGATAACACCATTGTAAATGTTACCTTAAACTACTGTGCCTTATTTATCGAGATGTAGGCCTACATGGGTACTGAAAAATCATTGAAACTAAATCAAAACTAAATATTTGTTGCTGGAAACGAGTGGACAGAATAACAATTTGTCATTTACGTAGATAAATAAATATATTTGGGCATAAAACGTCGGAAGTTGTTCAAATATCTAAATAGGAATAATTCAAATCTATAAGGTTTATCAATAGTCCGATAACCTAACAAGACCTCAGCAACGTTTAAACAAGTAAGTCATAATCGAAAACCTTTTTGTGTGTATAAGTTCACTTTATAACCGCTCTACAACTGGACATCACAAAAATACTCTAACTACGGGTTAATAAATCCCTGAGATGACTTCCCCCAAAGTCAATATTTGTATAGTATTGTCGCGTTATTCTATGTGCAAGTCGTCCTATCAGCGAACAGGGCAAGGCATCATACCTTATCGAGATTGTGTATTCTGACTGACAATTGTAAGGAAGGCAAAGAATGAATTAACTCGCACGAAAAGATAGTCAGCACTAAATTAATTTTGAATGTAGACCCACTCGGGTCTGATTACATATCCTAGTTTATTACTGCTGCCCTCTCTTAGTCTTAGATGTTTTCTGCTGTGGACAAAATTATATTTTTCTATGACGGATTTTAATGACATTCTAGATTAGGGGACTCATGAGTAAAAATAAGAGTTCTATAAATTTTTTCATATGTGCCATTGTAATTTAATTAGACTTGCCAGGTGATTTTATTCAAAAGAGATTCACAGCACACGGCTTCGGCTCTAATTTGCATATGCGCGCTCTTAGTGTTTACTTTAAAAAATCCTAACTAATTCTATTTGACCTATACCCTGAGTTTCAGGTCTGTATATATATATGGTAATTGGAAAATTGGGCAGTTAAGAAACAGGTCCGCGTTGGCTTTGACTCTCTTGGACTCAAAAGATTTTTAAAAATTCCACTTAACTATTGCGAGTTAAAACCCTTTTTTTTTTCTTTAACTTTACTCCGGCACAAGACTTAACAAGTCTCCACTTTGACATAGGGTTATAAAATGTTAAATGTTAAAAATATGCCGTCTTTTAGTCCTAAATTTTACCAAGTTTGAATATAACACACAGGCAATGAACCGACCAACAAAAGATTCTAGAAAAAATATTTACATACCTTGAAATACGAAGGCAATTGCAAACAACAGATAATAGCAATAAATAAGATAACCCATCATCGCAACGTGTGGCCCAAGCGACAAACTTGAAGTAATAACCAAATCTATAACATATTCAATATAATATAATATAGAAATACATATGTATAGATATTCATTGATTGTTATTAGATCGTAAGATAGCGAGAAAGCTGTTTAAATCCCATGTGATGTACTTGACTGTGGTCTAAGTAGAAGTGAACTGCGATAACATCCACGAAGAGCACTTATTAATTAAGGAACAATCCTTGCTATCTTGTCAATATTAATTTTAACGATCACATGGACTGCTTGGAAACAATAACAAAATAACCGATGATCATACGAGTGAGAAATTGAACCGACGCAAATGAGGATAAAAAAACAGGAGGAACAGTTTTGTGTTAAATGAGATGTTTAAAAACGTATTTCCTTTCTGTTCGTTCTGCATGTGTTTTACTGTAATTATGAAATTCGGTGATAACGGCATTATGCTGACCAAGGAAAACTCAGTCCATATAGTAGAAAGAGAGAGAGCGTGCGTTAATATGTATGCTAATATGTATGTGTGACTGAGGGAAAGAATGATTAAGTTTTAACTGATTTTCCAATCACAGAAAGTAAGGAAACCCAGATTTGTACCAAGTTAATATTTTTGCCTTTGAAAGGTGCCCAGTAATTTTGATTTGTACGTGTGAAAATAAGTGGCCGAAGTAGGGAAATATCGCTTAGGGACCATTCCCACAGATATTTGGATCGATCCATCTCCCTGGGGAGTCTCACTAAATTGCTGTCAGCTTAACCGGCTTAAATGTCTGTCACGCCTACTAAAAGTTGTAAGGGGGTAATTAACTTTCGTGCGCGCTCGACTCCCTCTTGAAATGATAGCAATTTAGCCTGAACCCCCAGGGAGTTAGGTCAATCCAGATGGATCGATCTAAGTATGGGAACCCAGTCTTAGACAATAAAGCCACTCTTCATGTGGTAGAGAGAGAGAGAGAGAGAGAGGGAGTGTGTGTGTGTGTGTGTTTGTTTGGGTTTTGAGAATATGCATATTATTTATTTATTTTTTTATTTGCTTACTTTTAAAACTAATACCAAAAATCCATTTAATAATTATTTATTTACAAATTTTACAAAAACAGAATCAGAACATTATACTGATACTCATTTAAATGTTTCTTTTTTAACAGACCAAAGTCTTCTTTGAACCAAACGAACGTATAACTTTCATCAAATGCGTTTGTATTTTGACTAAGTATACGCTGTAACTATGATACCATTATGCCATCATTATTCGTGTACATAAATACTTTGGAGTCTGCCAACCTGCAAACTAGGATAAATACACTATGATAAATATACTCAGCCATTTTTGATAATAAATCATGGCATAAACATTACAGTTTCGAAATGTTTTATTGTTTTTATCATCTATTTTCTCTTGCAACTGTTGCTGAGTTTATGGAATCAGCCAAACTTTAAAATCTTAAGTAATATTTATTCTCTGTTCCATGTTTTTATCACACTAAAAAATAATTTTTTTAAGCATGGACCATCACTAAATACTGCACTGCCATCTATTCTTCTGCAGCCTCATCTTTGGCAGTGTCGTGCACTGCTTCACGCTCCTCACCAACTTTATCCTCCATAATATTAGCCAGCCCAGTGGCTGGGTCAACGCTATTGTCCTCTCCGTCTGTGGCACTGGTGGTACCTGTGTCACTCTCTGAAGTATCTAAATAATAATAATAATTTATACAGTTTTATCAGAGAATGCATTTTGTAAACATAATTGCACAACATTGCCTTAATTACCTTTACAAAAATTAAGGGATAAACATTCTAATAATCTTTTTTTTTCTTTTGTTTGAACATTTTATTTACACAAGGAACAGCAACAGTAAATATGTATTGCAGTTTAAAAGTTGGAACCGAATAAAAAAATTGGTGAAGCTAACATAAAATCTGTTTCTTTTTTTAATCATTTTGCCATACCTTTGCTGGAGTCCCCAGTTTTAGTCCCTTCAGTTTTCACCTCCTCCTCTTTCTTCTCTTCCACGTGGGGGGTGGGGGGCAAAGGGGTGGGGTCACTGGGGGGTGTAGGGGGTGGCACATAGGGGGGTGGGTATATCACTTCCTTTTCAGATATTAGTTCCTATTAAGTAGAAACAGTAGATTGAATAAGTAAAATAAAATATAATTTGCCACTGAAGTTATTCAGATTTTTTAAAATACAATTTTGAGGAAAACATGATATTTCACTTCAGAGTATTTTTGGCAAATAACACAGAGCAAATATGGTGCTGTCATAACAAGTATGTTCCTTAGTCCAAGCATGCCCTTAAATGCCAAATGTGATTTTTTTTTTGTAAAAAAAGTTCATGAACTTTTTTCTATCTTAGCCATAACTGCTGCCACCCCATGAAAATTACATAATGCTTATTTTACATAGGAAATATAATTCTAATATTCAAAATAAAGATAAAGTTAGCTAGTTTCAATACTTAAAATGTTTTTCCATATTCACCTCTTTGTTATCTTTATAATATTGCAACATTTACCTTAACTATTGTTTGTATTTTGTCCTTGGTTTCATCACTGAGTTCAATGTCTTGTATCACACTCCAGTAACCCTTGGGAGACATGGTAGTAGGGAAGGAAAACACCAGACCTTCTGGAACACCATACCAACCTGAAACAAAAATGTGGACTAGTCTAATGCTAAATATAACACTAGTGGGTTTTAGGAAATATGGATGTTGAAAAACAAAAGAATTTCCCCTAAGGGACATTGTAAAAGCACAGATATAATGCATATATGAAACTACTGTATAATTTTGCCCTATGAAAGTGTCTTGAAGGAGACACAGTTGTCTGGGATAAAATTTCCTCTTTGAGACAGCCAACCCCCCACAAATGAAATGCCATATTAGTGGTGTAGGCAATGTTATAGTGTGTCACAGCAGGTCCCTCAGCAAAGATGTTCTTTTCAAAGAATGAAAACTAGACTACAGATTGGTAAGAAAGAATCACCAAATGAATGTCATCAGTTTTTTCCTAATAATTAAGCTATCAAGAAAACGTCAGATTACAATAAATTATACTTAAAAAAAGGAAAGGTAGCCCTACCTTCAGAGGCCACTCCCATTGACCACATCTGACCACTGGGGGACCCATTCCACCAATGAGCAAGCTGGCTGACCACTGCAGCCGCCTTGGACAATGACGGCTTTTTCCTCAAGGCCTTTCCAACCATCTCCCCTCGGGCTGCAAGTTCTTCTGGGAATTCCTTCTCCAGCCACTTGTTGTCGTGAACAAGCTCAACGGCAGATCGAGAGAAAAAAGGAGGCCCCCAGATGGCCCCATCATAATTATGGGTTCGCGCAAGGGACATATCAGCATAGCTTGTCCCACCTACGTTGCCCCATACTATAATGTCTACCACATCTGCAGAATTTACTTTCAGCCGTTCTGAAATGATGGCCTTCGCGTGATTTTCAACCATACGGGAAAGCGCTACGATATTCTGGCGTGGTATCTGGGTAATATGTTGATGGAGAATGAATGTGTTGAAGTTCACAGGGCCCTCTCCCGCCACCAACACACGGGCGTTCTTTTTGGCAACCTCATCCAACACATGGCCATAGTTTGTAAAACAGTCAGCGTTTCTTTTATACCAGTCATCTTTACTTTCCTCATCACTTTTTACAATATCGTCCAAGAAAATGATGGCTGAGCAGTCCATGAAAGCTTCCTTGGGATTTGTCATCACTGAAACTTTGCGTAACAGCCCATGTGCCAAATCGATAGCTTCCATTTGAACACCTTCTAAATATTCCATATTCTCCGCAGTGTCAAGCAAATGTAGTGAAATCTCTGTCCCCTTCCCAAACACATCACCTTGGCCAATACTACTTATCATATGGTAGCAGACATCGCAGCTGGCATTGGTGATGCACACTTTCAGTGGACGTGACCTTGACCTAAATTCCTCTTCTTCTTTATCAACTTCAATCTTGACTTTCAAGTTTTCTTCCCCTATTTTCTTCATGTCATCACTGACAAAATCTGATTTTATGCCATAGTAACCTTCAAAAGTGAAAAGACAGAATATTAAACTGGGGATGCTTTAACTTTTAAAATGAACAGACAGGATGTTGAAATCACTCAAAATATTATACTGTACAAATAACAATAAATGAATAAATAAATTATTCTATTGTTTCTTTGACACATTATGATTTTACAGGAAAACACTCACCATAAGCATACTCCTGGAAGTCATTAGCGCCACCTATCAACACCCCCTTGCCACCTCTGTCCACCAGTTCACGCCATACCAGTGGAGAGGAACCATGTATGAATCCCCGCTCTTTGCAGGTACTTTCCAACCAATTCTGAAAATTAAGGTGTATGCATTGTATTAGTTCATTAAGAGGTTGTGATTAATTTTATTGCTCTAAAGAAATTACAGTAAATAACAGAGCATTTATTTTTTTGCAAGAGATCTAGAAAAAAAAGGGATCGTTATTCAATTGGTACAAGAAATTAACTGTCCAACCATTAATTTCTCATAAGAATTATGTAGTAAAACATCTTATTTTCCAACCACTTACTCTCCCTACATGTTCTGCGTATACTTTTACAATACAGTAACTCTGGAATATTGAGTGTGACAGGTCATTTTAAGATACAGTTGTAATTTGATTATTTTTTAAAGAATTTCAACCATTCAAATTTTTTACATCAATATATCAACCCATTCTATAACAACATTGAACAGCCTACCTGCCATTTGTCTGGCTGAACGACAATCTTGTGTAATTTGAAATCCTCCAAATTATCTGCTAACGTGTCTGCCAGCAGTTCACACCTGGCAAAGTATGGGCAGTTCGCCGCACCTGGAACCAATTTAAACATAAAAAAACTTCAAATTTACGTATTATTTTATTGTTACTATTTATTTGGACTATGCAATGCAAAGTAGCATTAAGAAGCATAAAGCACAAATGCACATTACTGCAAATATGTATTTGTTATTTTCATGTAAAACGTTCTGATTGCAACTGAAAGTTGAAACGGTGAATAATTTTTGACATTGCCAGGTTCAATTTATGAAACCCAAATAATTGAAATCCGTCATTCTATTTTTTCATCAACGTTATGATGACAAACCTACAATATATTCGCATACATTGCATTAAATAGTTAATTGTGCAGTCATTTCTGAAGTCAAAATAATCCTACCTGCTAGCACGATCTTCGCCATTTTGTTTGTTGTTGCCAGGCGATAAGAGAGACATCTATCGACAACACAGAGGGTCGAGAATAACTTTGAGAGTATATCGATTAACTTTTTTCACTCCTGAAATTGGTTGTTATTTCAGGTCAGATTAAATCCGTATATTGTGTTTAAATAGATTAAAATATAGAGTTTCGGTATCATTTAGTGTAACTCTTATCTTAGGCCGAAATTTGTTCAAATTACCCATGAGCCTCTACTCACATGGTCCAACGTCAACATGGCTCCGAAAAAGAAGGAAACAGCACACGTGCAACAAGATTTAGCCTTAGATTCCGATCAACAGAAAGTGTTTCAAGAAAAGGTTAAAGAACTCAAAGCTAAGGTGAGTTTGGGAAACATGCGTGCCGTTACTTCAATTTATCTGCACGTATTTTATACAAATGTTCATTGAACGTGTACTAGGAGTAGTAGCACTACCACTGCTGTGTTTCACGTTTGTTTCCGCACTTGCTGCTACAAGTACAACCGGTACAGATCAAGTCCAGTGATAAGGAATAAGAAAATAACAAAAATTTAAAAAAAATGATCTGAGGGTCATTCCTTTTTTTTTGTCAACTCCTTAGATTGGTTTTCCCGATACTATTAACTTTTAAATTAAAAGTTGTATCACAAACTGAAAAATATTATACATGAAATTCTCAAACACAAGCCTCAATTTTTTTTCATACCGTTAGCTTACAAGCTTAAATTGAGGCTTGTGTTTGAGAATTTTATGTATATCCAACAACCAAGCTAATGAACATTTTTGCTCATGAAAAATATTATTTTATTAAGTCTTATGTACAGCGTCTTTTTTCTAGACAAAGCATGGGCTGTCCCAGCCTGGCGTGGTATATGTGGGTCACATACCAAGAGGATTCTTTGAACACCAAATGAAGTCATATTTCTCACAGTTTGGAAAAGTGAAAAGGATCAAGCTATCCAGAAGCAAAAAGGTTTGAGAAGCAAATGTTATATGATGTATAAGTTGTCAGTTTGATATTTATACTCCCCCTGCAAATGACTTGTTATTTCATGGGCCAGCATTTGGGCAGTGAAGAGATCAGTTAATTGATAACTTAGTCATGCACATTGAAGGGAAAATCGGTTTTGTCTTAGGTTGAAGCATTTGCCAATTAACTCAACTGAACATGGGTAAAACCCTATTGGAGTTGTGTGTTACAGAGACAATGTATAGACAATTATTGCTTATTAATTGCAGCATGGTTTTCAAAGACAAATTCCAGTTTTCTCTAAGTTTGGCTTTTGATCTGTGTCATTTTGTTAAATAGGTTTTTAACTTTGTGATTTTCTTTTTGTAGACTGGTAGACCCAAAGGCTATGCCTTCATAGAGTTTGAGAGTGAAGAGGTGGCTAAAATTGTGGCTGACTCCATGAACAACTATCTCATGTTCCACAGGCTACTGAAATGTAAGTTCATGGGCAACAGTTTTTAGGATTATGCCTGATTTCAGGATTTTCAGTCTTCATTCTGATAGTTTTTATCATATGGCCTAATTGCAATGAGAAATTGTAATCTATGAATTCAGGCTTTTCAGTTTTTACAAGTTACACCCATGAAAATAGGGGACATTAGCTTAATGGTGATCAGAATTGTTTGCTGTTTTCAAAAATAAAACTATAAAATATGGCACTATCTGTACACTTTTGAAAAAACTTATTTGTCTAGTAAAATTTGGCATCACATTGAAATAATTTTTTATGTGCATTAATACATATTCACAGACAGCAATTAGAAATTCAATAAGTGTACGTTTTAGTAAATTGACAAAAAAATTTTTTTTCACTTGTTTTGAGAAAAATACTTGTTTAATAGAAAACAATTTGGAATTTTTAAATGATTGACAATATGATAATATTTATTTATGGCATCATTTGTTGTATTTTACATGGTTGCTCATTTCTCAAGTATGTGTTATCAGGTAAATTTTGTCCTTCGGAAGATGTTCATCCAGACACCTTCGTAGGCAGTGGCAGAATGTTCAAGCGCCCTAAGGCACATGCCATAGTCAGAGATCGCCACAACAAACTGCCAACTCCCAAGCAGAGATTGCGTGCCATCAAAAAACTTAACACAAGGACCAACAAAAAGCTTGCCAAGTTAGCAGCAATGGGGATTGACTATAGCTTTGAGGGACTGGTGAGTTTGGAATATGAATAATGATAACAATTTTTTTTCTTAAAATTGTGCTACACAAACATCTCAGCATTATTTACCAATGAATGAATGAATGCTAGATGAAGATTTTTCTTCCTTTTTAATTCAGTTGACCAAAGTCAGTTGACAAAATGAGAATCATACTAAAGTTCATTTCAGCAACGAGATATTTGGGACATTTTATTTTTGTAGGGAAACAAATACAGCATATTTAAAACTGATGTGTTTTTTTGTTTTTTTTTTGTTAAACCAAAATTATGATTAACCTTTTCAGTAAACATGCCTACAGATTTCATCTTTATTCAGGATATTGTAATTGTTTATTCTGAACCACTTGAAATATATGTAAAGTTGTTTATTTGTTTCTGCTTTAGTACAAAGAAAAAAAGAAGGTTGGTTGGATCAACCCACACCAAGATTCTGTACATATTTTAGAAGAAGATAGCAGTGAGGATGAGATCACATTTATTACACCCCCTAAGACTGTGCGCTCTTCGTCGGTTGGAGCCACCCCAGGGAAAACTCCTAAAACCCCCAAATCAAGAACTGCCACTCCAGATAGCACTGGAATAAAATCCACCAAGTTGTCTGGTAAAGGTAATACTACTAAAAACTCAGTCTCTAAAAATAAAACGAAGAAGACTAAAGCAACTAGGCCTTTTGTGACTTCATCTGAAGTTGAGAAGACAGTACAGAAATTGACTTCTGCGTCAAGTGGAGGTTTGAAAAAGAGGAAAAAGGAGATGTTGGAAAATCAAACTGGATCTGCTAGAAAGGTGCAGAAAGTAAAGAAAAACTCAATNAGCAGTGAGGATGAGATCACATTTATTACACCCCCTAAGACTGTGCGCTCTTCGTCGGTTGGAGCCACCCCAGGGAAAACTCCTAAAACCCCCAAATCAAGAACTGCCACTCCAGATAGCACTGGAATAAAATCCACCAAGTTGTCTGGTAAAGGTAATACTACTAAAAACTCAGTCTCTAAAAATAAAAGGAAGAAGACTAAAGCAACTAGGCCTTTTGTGACTTCATCTGAAGTTGAGAAGACAGTACAGAAATTGACTTCTGCGTCAAGTGGAGGTTTGAAAAAGAGGAAAAAGGAGATGTTGGAAAATCAAACTGGATCTGCTAGAAAGGTGCAGAAAGTAAAGAAAAACTCAATAAAGTGAGAATTTATGGGATGTGTTATACTGGCCAATTGGTAAAATTGGAGCGACATCTAAAATCAATGAGTCATGCTTTTGCATAGCGATTTGAAAAGTCTAGTGGCATACATATTTATTTACCAAAGTCGGAATGTATTTTTAAAAAATGTAACTAAAGTGTTATTGGAATTGAATGAATTTCAACTGGAATAATACTTTTGAAGACACAGGAAGGAGGAGGGGGCAGCTGGATACTGGTGCACTAACTGAAAGTAGAATGGAATGACTAGCTTCTAAACTCTTTCAGTGCTGAGGACGTATTTTGGTTCAGAATTGAATGCAGATCACTGTTACCATGTAGCATAATGAAGAAAATGTGATTATTAATAAATGTCATTCATCAGTTTAATGTCTTCATAGTTGTCTTACTGTCATTGTTTGGGATGGTTAGAGCAGTATCTTGGGATATTTTTCAGTAACTGGTGCATTGCATCAGATTGTTTAGCAATTTGTCTTTGAAAATTTACAAATTAAGCTAATTACACATTTTTGTTTTAAAGAAAAGTAAAATAAAAGCCTTCGTTATATTTTTATGTTGTCTCAATCAATACTTTATTAAGATACTGTGTACATAATAACCATTTCTTATTTATGTGCAGTAAAGTCAATGCATAATACACATAACTAACCAGTTTTGGGAAATATGAAATTTATCCTAAATACTACCATTCGATTTTGACCTGGATCTATTTTTTAAAAATAAATAATAACTGTAACATCGAGCACATAAACATATCTGGATGTCCTAAATCTGATGTTAAACTGATTAAGAGAAAAATATCTCACAAGTCTGGGTAGGCTAAATTGTTGTTAAATTGGTAAAAATGTGAATTTTTATTATAACCTGAAACTTCTCATTTTATACACATTCCCATGCTGCTGTGCATAACAAGCCAAGCTAAAAAGTATCCCCTTACCTTTACCAAAGGTATTAATATTAGTTTACTTGGCTACTGAAAATGAAGTAGATATCAAACAAAAAATGAAGTACAACAATATGTATTAAATCATTTTGTACATCACTTATTTTTCATCATTGCATAATGCACACCATGCAACCCACTCCCACCAGGAGTTTCAACTGCCATTATATCCTCAATGATTCTCTGGAGTTACCAAAGTCATTGGTAGAAACTCTAAATATTATGAAATCCATTTACAAAAAGAAGGATTTAAATATTGATGTTTCTTTACTGCAAATGTTCTTAAATGTGAACCCAAGACATTCATATTTTAGAGCTATGATAACAGAATTGCAAGAAAAGTAGCACAATCAAATAGCTTGTATTTTTCTCTCTCACAGCAGTCTTTCAAAATAAATATTAATAATTTAAATTTAATATATGCCAAACAGAAAAATGGACAGTGGACATGCTCTACAGAAAACGCCAACACTGATCAGTAACATCACTGCAATGATACAGCTTCTCATTTGTGCAATGCCAATGCAAGGAAGCATGTTTACATCACTGAAATACAATACCAAGGGTAAATATAATTTATTGTGACTGGGATGAATAAAATTCTGAAATGATCACAAGATTTCTCCTTAATTTTACTATTACATAAAATGCCAGTAACAAGCAAGGTGATCAATATGTTAAAAAATTGCAAAATGATGTATAGTTTGAATTTGCTATGTATTATAATAATCATGTATACAAGACCTTTTTGTCATTTGCAATGTGAAGTATTTGGTAAAAAGATCATGTATTTAACATTGATTAAACTGGAGAAAGTCTTGCAAATGTGCAACTGAAATATTAGAAAATACAACAAAAACCAAATAAAACCAGCTGTATTCAAATACAGTGTGCATAGTTTTACTTTAAAAAACAAACAGTTTGCAAAAACTTTTTTAAAAAATTAACAAAAAATAAAAGAAAAGAGGATATGGTTTCGAGGCAGTGTTCTTGTACACACATCTGTTAATTTGAGGCTAGACCTCAAGTGTGCCACTTCAATCAAAAATCTTAAAATTGTAGGATAAGAAATGAGGTGCAGGTTTTCCCACCACCTCCTCCAAAACAACTCACATCACAATTCTTGTAAAAGTTAATGTGTCTGATCATAACTTTTATCATTTCTTCAACTTCAGCTATAATCCTATCCACATCTTCTAATGTTGTTCACATGTATGTCTTTCATGCAAAATAACATGAACGACAAAAATTTACAATTATGGGTATGATTTGATAATCATCACTTGTTTTTCAAGAGAGAATCTGTTTCTAAATCTGGGTAAAAACATCACACACACGAAAATGACAAAGCAACTTCCATGGAGAATTTCTAAATTCCTCTTCTTTGCAACTTGCTGTCAGTATATATCACACTTCTGGGGCTAAGAATGCTACTTTGACTGGACATAAGTCTGTGACACTTAGATAATGAAATCTTGAAGACTCGTCCAGGCAAACTGAGAGGCAAAATTTCACAAATGCTTGGTCTTGAAGGACTGAACTTAATATAAGCTCAAAAGTGCAGCTCAAAAAGTATACACTGGTTTGAAAAAAAAAGACAAGTCCATCCCTGGCATTTCACTACATTTTGGCAGTACATTTCACATAGCATGACTTGAAATCCTAATATACAACTTTATAATTGTAATTTTACATGGGTCCCATGGTTGGCACTTGAATTCCAAAGTTTTGGGCTACTTTTGACTGTGCCATTGCAGCATCCAATAGAGAAAACAGGTGAGCCATCTCCATTTCTGTCTTTGCTAGGCTTATTGCCTTGTTAAACAGGTCTATTGCATTTGTAAGGTTACCCCTGTAAAATAATGGACAACTGCAATACCAAACTTCAAACACAAAATACTTGTATACCTAATGACACCTCAAATGATAAATTTACTAAAAATACTAACAAACACATGAATGCATATATGACAAATATACATTTTAGATTAAATAACCTAAAATTGTTTACGATTAGTAAACTAGATCAAATGTCTTTGTTCCAAATCTGTATACTATAATATACTGTGTGGACACCTACCTCTGGACCTCTATGGTTCCCAGTGTTTCGTATGCAAACTCACACTTATCATCTACCTCTAAGGCTTTTTTAATCATACTACAGGCTTCCTCCATATTCTGCTTCCATTGTAACCTTAGCAACCTGAAATAAACACAGAGGTATACTAAGTATATATAGCCCTGTACAGTGTTTCTGTGCACTTGAAAACTCCCCTCCCCCCAAAAAATGGAGACACGTTATATTTCTATATCATTCAATAGTTTAATCAAATCCAAATTTATAACAATATGTTATATTCCTAACAAGCAGACAGATGCTGTGTGATAACTTCACTAGGCCAAACCCATCCAACCAGACCTTGTTACATCTGGAATTTCTCCCTACCAACTATGTTCACTTTTAAAATTCAAAATTTTATAGGTGGTAATAAATGAATCCTTCACAGCTAAACACTTGTATATAAAGAAGAACCTTTCCCTTACCCTCTGTGTACATAAACATTTGCATTATCTGGTTCTATTTTGATGGCTTTCTTGAACTGGTCATCTGCCTGGTCAAACTGCTGCTGGTCACACAGGGCCTGGAAGGACAACAGAATGTAGACACCACGATATGCAGCGCTGGTTTTGTTGCAATTATCAACATTACAACAATGATGCATCAACAGACATCAATGTATTTTTACGGCAACAAAGACACATCAGCAGTGCACTGTTACTTCAATGTGAATAGGATATATATACATTGCTAGTTAATAACTTTCTAAAGACTTAGTATATCATATGAACATGTCCATATGGGTAGTGGGAGAGAAGCCAGGAGGAAATATTTGCATACTGGTCTGTTTTCATAAAAGTAAGTTTGACACAAAATAACCAAGTAGTGTCCCATTATATGTCATACTGAGCCCGTTTTAAAAAAATTTTTAAATCCCCAAGGTTTTACTTGAATTAAGGGATTTATGCAGATAAAAGACCTAAACATTCTGTCTGAAACTCAATACCTATAGGAGAGGCATTTTCATACTGACCTGGCCATATAAAGCAAAGGCTTCAGCGCAGTCTGGAAACCTCTTCAGGAGATCCTCAAATGACCTGACAGAGCTCTGCAGCTGCATGGGACTGCGCTGGTCAAAGGCATGTCTGTATTCTACGATAAAAAAATATCATATCATAATACAAGGCAGCATATTAAATTACACCAGTTTACATTTTCACACATCTGAGCATGCCTTTAATTGAAAAATCAGGAAATGCAAGGATTATAGATGGGAGAGGTAAGAGAAGTGGAAAGGGGGTCCTGGCACATACCTGCGTAACATTTCTGAGCATGTGCAACAGCAAACTCTGGGTTAAGGGCCACACACTTGTCAAAATCTCTAAGTGCATCATCCATGCGATCTAACAGAAGATTCAGCTGAAATGGAAATAAAAAGAAGGGGCACTTAACCTTTATCACAAAATATCAAAACGTAACTTGTAAAAACCACAACTGTCACAATTTATTTTAGGAATAAATATATATATATATTTTTTATAAATGAATTTAAACAGTCTGACTCTGATGAGATGAAAGTGGACCTCATAAAAAAGCTTTGGAAAAAGTGTACAGTTCCGTATGGGGGGTCTGAAGGGAATATACAGAACACCTTATTAATCGGGAAAACTTTTATCTGTAACTAACCTGCCCTCTGTGATGATATATGTCGGAGTTTTCAGGATCCACCCTCACTGCAGTTGCCATGTCGTCAAGGGCCTCTGTCTGCTCCCCAAGCTGAAGTTTCAGGCTACCCCTCTTGATCAGAGCATTAGACTTTATCTGAAATAACAAATCACATGAAAAAAATTATTAACTATCAAGAGGAACAATTCTACAGTTTGGCTAGGCAATGGGTTAAACACTTCCAAATATGGACATTTTCAGTAGAAAATGGAAACTAATTAAATGGATATTAATTAAGGATGTAAACACTTTGTCTACAATTACAGACAATTTCCCCATTCTTTTTTCAAAGAAATTAAAAAAAATATAGGAAAACCTGAACAGAATCATATACCCATGTATAGAACATTACCTTTTTATCAACATCCTCAAGGCCTATGACCTGGTTTAAATCATCAATGGCTTTTGTCCCTCGTCCAGCCAGCAGATAAAATGTTGCCCGCAGCAGGAGGGCTTCAGGTAAATACTTGGATGTGGAATTGCTGATCTCCTGGGTGCACAGCTCTATCACATTATCATATTCTTTCTTGGCTAACTGTTTCTTGGCTTTCAGGAATGGACTAGAAGACAAAGTAGGAAAGGACTGAGCATTTTGCAGACATAACATTGCGTAAATTTAACATTTTCCATAGGACCGCAAAG